CCCCCGGTCTCCCCCCCCCGGCAGGGAGCGGCTCCTCCCCACGCAGGCATGGCCGAAGGCCTCTTCTGCGTCCCGAACACCGCCGTTCCCTCCCTTCCCCCGGCCCTCAGGGGCTCCCGCCATTTTCCTCAACAGGAGACATCAAGTACCTCCAGTCAACTCCCTAGAAGGAAGCTGCCAGGGTAGTATTTTCCATTCTTGCAACAGTACAACACCTATTCAAAAGTTCAAAAGCCCAAAGGAGCCTGGTAAGAGTAAAGCATAAGAAGCAATGTTGAGGAGCATGTTCATGCACAGTTTTGTCCTCCGTTACCAAAATTACAGCCATTAAAAGTGCAAATAGGCAATGGAAGTTTCAGTTACATTTCCACATTGCCAGATTTTGCTTACATAAGCAAAACTGATAAGTCTTGAAGCATAAATTGAACAGACACGTGAGAGGTTTGGTAACTGCAATTTTATTTACTCCGTTTCAGACTAGACAATGCTAATACAGAAAGTACCATGTTTTACTGCAGTCACAATGCCCAACTCTGGAAATGGGCATATGACATCAGGACAGCACCTAATACATCCCTGACAGAAGTTTACAGAAAAATTTTATGCAGAGAAGACATGGTAAGTCTGTTACTTTGTCCTTCTGTCTATCTAAGCATTCACAGTGGCACTGATTATCTCTTACACCTTCTGTACATCAAGGAAAAAAAATACACCATACAGAAGATAAGCCAAAGTTTTGTCATTTGACATCTTCCAGGTTGTCAAATTTTCCTTGTCCCCCACAGATTACCTACAGGGGTTGCCAAGTACCATAAAGGTAAGTTAAATACTCTAAACCTTACAAGAGCTTTCAGTTTTGCAGGAGATTGTCAAAGCTGGGGGACGGGCAAAGAGGCCAAGTCTGTTCATCTGGGGTTTAACAGACAAACAAAACCATGAAACAAATGCACTAGGACTCATAAGGAGATTTCCTGATTTCACTGGACATGAGACCAAGGCCTAGATAAGCAACAACCCAGTCAAAAAGGTTATTTTAAAAACCCTTGGAATTATCTAACTAAAATGAATTCTTTGAAATCTGTTGGTTATACCTAACCAGTTCACCTATGATGATTACTAGACATAGAAAGGAGGCAGCCATTATGCTTTGAATGAGATCCTTTGCTGAATGTTGTCTTCAGGCCTCGGTTGCCTTTTGGACTAACACTTAAAAACATGGAGATAGTAAAAAAAAAATTATATATTACTCTGCTTTCTTTACTAACTGTACAAATGGAAACAGGAGCTCTACAGCTTCAGATAGGTTGGGCTTTAACCAATGAAGCCACAGAGAAAAAAGTTAGTTTTGGTTGAAAGTTGCGTCTACTTTGCACTCTAACAAATTTTTGAAATCCTTGATAATTGCATATACAACATTTAAAAACAAAGGGCCTGATCCTGCAGCCCTCATTCCTCAGAAGGCAACAGATGCCAATACCCAGCAAGATGGCCTTTTTCTTTTAAAGAGGTCTATAAACAGAACTTGAAGCACAAACTGCATGACAATTACAAAAAGGTAATTTCCAAATCTGAACTCAAGCTATACATACAAAGTGAAGAAGTTACCAATGGCAGTGTGTCTTCAGACTGCAAATTATGTCTAATGGCTTACTGTAGATGCACAGCAAACTCATTTTTTCTTGACAAATAAAGAAACTGCTGATCAGCACAGTGAGGAGTACCTAAATCAAGGTGAACGGCCAAGCAAGTGCGGAAGTATTCTACGCAGAATTTATTTTCTTTGCTTTAATAGCAGCTTCAATCTCTTCCATGATTGGTAGTGTCCCTGTATAGTTATTAGTTTCAATAGCTTCTAATTTCTTCTGATAGTCAGTTGGCAAGCCATTCTGTTTCGCACCCATGCAGATAACCTATAATCAAAAGGGGGATAGGGGGGAAAGGCTTCAGTAACTGTGTTAGGAAGGACAGACCCCTCCAAACATTTACTCATACAGGAAGAACCACTTAAGGTAACAAGAGAATTAATCCCAAATAGCGCTGTTTGTACCTAAAGATAGCCATGGGCTTCTGGAAGACCACTGAAGACCTTAATGTGTCAACAAAATTACTCTGAAAAGCCTTGTAACTACCAAGGTATACCCCTAAGATTTGGAAGTGTTACTGAGGTGCACGAGACTGTATATTCAGTTATTCCATTCTTTCTTCCAGGAAGCGCGAGCACTACTTTTTACATGTTTAGCCAGCCTTCAGATCACACCTGAGTGAGAAGCAGTGTATATTATTGAAGTTTTTTTAAAAACTAAGCTGTTCAAATTCAAAGCATGACAGTGAGTACCCTAGGCAGGTTATGGGAGTAACAGAAACAGATATTTAGCTTAGTGAAAAAGCACATATTCCTTAGAGTTTGTTACTGCAGCTTTCCTTCTACATGCAAAATGAACTTAAGTATTGGTGCAAGAGAAAAGAAGTTACAGCGAGAGGAAAAGAGGAGGCTGTCAGAGCCAAGGCTTGAAAGAGACACCAGCAAGCTCCCACATAGAAATCAACAGACAAATATACAGATTTTAAAAGTGACACTATTGCAAATATTCTTTCATGCATTCGGCAGCCAGGAAATTCAAGGATGAGGTGTCTAGAAAGGATGAGCTTTGCCACAAAAAGTACACAACAGTAGATGGACGTAGATGATCCTGTGCCGATGCAGTCACCTGTACTAGGTTTTTAGCCCTCCTGCCTGGTTAACTTAAACAAATAAAAGCTGGGAGCAGGGGAGAAGACGACAACTAACAACTGACCCTGACAACAGCAGGAGGGAATGTTTAGCTAGATAAAGTCACCAAAATTGTAGGTCTGCTCTTAACAGCGTACTAGCGAGAGCTGACACACAGCAGCAGACTATGTATTAACTCCCTGAAAAGCCCTAAGATCTGTCTTGACAGGAAGCGGGTTGGTAGGGAGAAGGTTTGTGAAGTAGCAGAGCCTGTTTTCAAAGCAAGCTTTCTCTTCAGAAGTCCTGCAGCAGCTGGCCTTAGCTATGCTCCTGGAAGCCAATCCACAGGAATGAGTTCCTCAGTTAAGAGAGGGCAGCACACTTGGGATTTAACAAGCTCAAGCCCTGTTTCTTTGCTTTTGGTAGAAAAAGTCAACATGTTACAGTTATGTCTATCTGCAATTGCTAATAGCTGTACAATTCCAGACATGCAGTCATGCCACCCGAGGCTAGGCCTGCATCAGATCTCACAAGCTAAGCAGGTCGGGCCTGCTGCGTGACTGGATCATATGTCTCTATAGAGTCAGTGTGTTGCAGAACAGTGTTGAAACACTTCTGCCTCACCAGCCACCAACCGGGAACCCTGCAGTGCTCTGCAATATTGCTGGAAGTCCTGTAATACACTGATGATGCATCTGCTAAAAGGAGGCAGGTGGACTCCTGTATTAAATGATAGTAAGATACTTCATAAGACAATAGGGATAATCCGTGTCCTTCAGACTACAAGCCAGGTGCAGTGTCCCCCCCATAGAAGCTTCCCTCTGTCCTTTTAGTGGAGTGAATTAATTTTTCAGAGAATTGCTGCATATATGTAAACAACATCCTTCAGAAATCCCTGTGTCAGACATAACTAATTCATGAGCTGAATAGAAGCTTCATGTAAGGCATCGCTAAGCCAAAAAATAAAACTGATTTAGTAGGCCTTTGAAAGCTAGCAATCTTCTGCGAGCATCATTACGCTATTACATTGCACAAGGATTAAGTTATGCCTTTACATTAGAGTTACGCCTTCCATCCACTGTAAATAAAACACTTATTAAATAGGGACAGAAGTACTGCATCACATGTTTCTGTTCATTCTCTCCAAAATCACAGTGATGCAACACCTACCTTTTTATACTGAGGGGAAGGGGGACCACAGACATAGTCCTTCATCTGGTAGCTTCGACAGGTCAGTACCTTTCCTGCTTCAGTGTGGACATTAACTTCTATGGGGACATAAATGCCATCTTCAACTCCCTCTTGCCTGTAAAGGACACATATTCCTTTCACACCAAATAAGCGATGCATTTTTCAAATAAACTGCAATTAAACACATGCATTTATTATAATCGAATTCAAGGCAGGATGGTCTGCGCTGTAAACAGACTTAAAGAAAAACAAATAAAGCAAAACATATTCCAGCACTTTTTGTGCAAACTTGTTTCATTTCAGCTCTGTAAGAAAGATGACTAGTAGTTAACTTGCAAAGTTAGAGAATACTTCTTGTGAATTAATTACTGTGCAAATCTGGTAATATACAAGAGAAAGACAACAGAGATTGTCAGAATTAGTGAGCCAGGCACATATCATTCATTACCTTCCACTCAGATAATGAAACAACTGCAAAGTTTTATTTTGCCCATTACTTTACCTTTGAATAAGGGGAAACTCGCACAACTCCTGCAATGCACATTCCAAGGAGTAACTGAAGACACCCTTTAATTTGCGCAAGACACGCACAGCAACAATGAGCTAGATTAGGGGAAAACCCATTTTGTTATTTTTTATTAGCAAAATCATGCTGTCTTAGGAAAACAAAACCAAACTCAAAAACAAGGCTACTTGTTGTCTTTAAGCTTTAGCATTTAACCACCAGTAAAAGTCTGAGGAAATAGTAAGAAGTAAATGAGAAGCTTAAGCAATACAAGACAGAATTTATAGCACAATTAACTTCAGATGTGCTTTAGATGAGTAATAACATGAGTTTTAATGCTGATTGTCAAAATACCATTTTGACAACTTCTCTTTCATTCAAAGACTTAGTACCATTTCAGGTTATTTAACATGCATAACATGAGCCATGTAATGTGAGTAACTAGGTTAAGTGCAAGTAGAGACTGGAAGCTAACCACAGATTCAAGACCAACAGACTGCAAAATAAGTCACGGGTGTGTGAGAGCAAGAAAAGCGTTAAGTAACATCCATTGCTAGTCACGATTTACTCTGTAGCTTACAAATTTGTGAAGTACAGAGGACAAAAAAAATCTGACCACGAGACAGCACCAAAACCTCTCTGAAGCCATCTAAGCAAGATTCCCCTCCCGTATTTGTTTTCCATATATTACATTGTTTTACTAGTATTTCAACTAACGACATGCAGAATCAATTACGCATTCCCTCCTCCTCTGCTTCTTTATCCAGGTTGGGGGGAGGAGGGAAGGCAGGGCAGGGGAGGCAAATAGTGATTTTTTTTTTTTCTTGATATATGGAAATTCCAGGAAATAACTTGGTTGAGAACTTACAAATATATCTGCTCGCGCACAGCCAATGAATCCCAAGATCTTCAGCAGG